CACATTGTTAGAAATAGAGTGGCAAAGAAAGTTTCTACTCTTGGCTAAAAGGTGAAACTACATGAAAAAAGTTTTTGGTGTGAGTAATATAAGAAAGATTCTTTGTATATTTATTCTTCTTTTTCTAGGGTAGTCATGGAGTTCCAGGGTCATCTGGAGAAAAAGGAAATAGGGGAAATCAGGTAAAGGATGAGAATATTCTTCTCTGATTTTTCTACTGAATAAGCTGACATGGACAGTTTATTTTTATACTATGAGAAAGAATCATCTGGTGGTTTAAAAACTAGATTGAGAGTTAAAGGACAATCAATGTTAGAACTATTTGGAAGCTTTATTTAAGACCTGACTCTGGATAGTGAAATGAGAAATATTAATCTTGTGACTTAACTTTTTGTCCTTTAGAACAGTGATCATGCCACATTCCCTATCTTACAAGCTTTTCATAGCTCCCTGTCACCAGTGATTTTAGTCTTACACCCAAGGCTTTTCAACCACATTCTTCACGAATCTCAGTCAAGAAGTGACCTTCATGGTCAAATTGTACTACTCATTGTCCTCCAAACATTCCTTGTGTATGTCCACCTCTGTGTCTTTTCTCATGCCAGGTGCCCCTCCTGGAATGCCTTTTCCCTGCTTCCATCTCTAGTGCTTAACGTGACTATCACCTTTTCTTCAGTGTCCCACTCCTTTCTTTCTTCCTTATCATGGCTTCCTGACCATGTCAGCCTGTGGTGATCTCTTCCTTCTCTACATCCTTACAACTTACATTATTTGAACTATCTGCTTGACAGTGAATACATGCTGCCTCATGCTGGTAATTCTGTTTCTATTTGAGGAATGGCAGATACCTGGCAAATGTACTGCAACTCTCTCTTCCTATGCCATGGCAGACATTACTAACCAATTATGGGGTCCAACATGGCTGAAGGATCCAGTTCAACACAGTACCATAATCAACCCCTGTTGATTGATAGGATTAGACATGGGGGTGAAATTTATTTACTTATGCTTCTTTGTACTCCTCAAGGCGTTAGAGTAATGCTTTTATTACAAGGATGTTTAATTAATGGTGTAGACTGATTTCCTGATAAGTGGAACAGCGAAAGTCTGAAGACATGACTTTTTATTGAGGTTCAATCTCAAACCTGAAGTTTGTGGATCAGATTTCAGAGGAGGTGGAGGATACCATGCTGCCTTAACACTGGGGGGTTTTCAGTTTTAGTAGAATTTTACAAAATCCGGTGAACACCTATCAAGTGCCTTCTCCTTGTGGGATATTTTCTAGACACAAAAAAGGATTTAAAGATATGTAAGTCATGGCTGTGACCAACAAAGAGCTTATTGGCTGGTGCAGGACATCAAATTGGCACAGGAAGAACTATAATACAGGATAGGGTAAAATAAGTGATGTAAGAATGGTGAAAATAAGGAATCAATGGGAGCACAGTGATTTGGAGAGGAAACTAGAATAGGGTGGCTTTTCTTTGTTTGATCAATAATCAAAATTTATTAGGCATATGTTATAATCCAGGCATGATTCTGGAATGGGGAACAAAACAGGCATGGGCATTGTACCTTAGGATTGGCCTCTATGGGGAAAGACAGACATGAATGAAATAATCATGGAAGTACATGTAAGCTTACTGCTGAGATAAGAGAGGGAAATGGCAGGGGGGCTTATCCAGCCTGTGTAGTCATAAAGTATTCATTGAGGAATTGAAGATGGAATTAAATTTAAAGGATGAGTAACAATCAGGTGGTGAGGAAGGAGAGAAGGGGGCAAGAGAACAGCCTTCCATATTAAGGCTCTGTGGCATTTGAGCAGGTGCCAAAGGGTGGAGAGATCTCTGGCATTCCAGGGAACATAGGAAATCAAGACAGTTTGCACTCTGACCTCTGTGAGAGGGAATAGGAGAGAGACACAGGGTATTCCAGCTTAAAGAAAAGGCAAAATGAAAAGCTTAGAGTTAGAAAACTCAGGGTAGCTTTGGAAAAATAAGGATTCCAATTTAACAGGAGTAGAGGATAAAATACGAAGTATAAAGAGTAGGAAGAAAGTCTGGAAGGGCAAATTGGAGTCAACTTAATGCCATATTTAGGAGTTTTGTTTTTTTCTGTTGAGTAATCAAGGGCTAGTGAAGGTTTCTAGGCAAGGGAGATACGTATTTGAAGCTACAGTTTTAGAAGATTACTCTGGAAGCCAAGTGTCTGTGTTAGAAAAAGGAGGGATTAGACATAGGGCAAATCATAATAAGAACCTCATGCCCGACTCTATCCTGAGCATTTAAATTACTATTTTATTTAATTGCTGCCATGGTCCTATGAGATAGGTACATCTGTTTCACAAATAAGAAA